CCCAGTGTTACTCGTCTGTTCATTTCTTGGTCACTTGTTTTACACTGTAAATAAACTTGCACTGCCTGCATCGAAGTCAGCCACCTGGGTTCGTCAATTTTTGTGACTCGCTCACTTCCATCTTTGAGCCATCCTAACACAATTACCCACAAAGGCACAGAGTCTTGAGTTGTGGCTATTTAGGATCCATAATGGAAACCAGGCTCATGTGTTTTCACTGTAACAATGCAGGCTCTGTTTATTCTAATGGAACAATGGTGTCCTAAACTGAGTTACAGAAACTATGAAGAAATAATGAGGCTTCCTTCTGTTTCTTGCTCTTTTTCTACAGCGGATTGTGTGTGTGTGTGTGTGTGTGTGTGTGTGTGTGTGTGTGTGTGTGTGGGGGTGGTGTGGAGTGGGCTCTGCTTCTGCACATATGAAGACCACACGTTCCATCCTACAACAAATCTTTTGACAGTTGTTGCAAAGATTAAAGAAATGTTTGTAAAATAAAGCCGATTTTGTGAGTCAAATAGTATACCACCTGTCCAGAGCTGTTTCTGCTGTACAGTGATACTCACCTGGTATTTGATGCCTGATTTGAAGTATCCCAGAAAGGTGTTGGATTCATAGCCCTGCACCTCCCTGAACTGCACTGGTGAACCACCCAGGAAGTCGTCCAGCTGTGTGGAAAAGATGGCTGCCGCTCCACTCTCATCCTGTGAACATTCATTCCCTGCAGAAAAGAGACTCCACTGCTTATTTTCTTTTACTAAATCCTTTAATTGCTTCACACTTTTGCTAAAGAATCAAATTTCTTACAAAAGCATTAAGTTACTTCACATTAGCAGAGCAAACCGCAACACTTTGGTTTCTACTCTGAGCCAAGACTGGAGTCTTTGCATCAGCCACATCTGGAGCAAAGTCACTTTGTATCCAGCCATTATTGTCGGACAGCACACATAACACAGATAAAACGGTTCCATAATTTTACACCATTAACATCGATCCCAGACGCAGGGGTTAAATGTGTTCTCATACTATTTCCAGTGACTGAACATTATACAGAAGGGTGCGGTGGCAACAGAGTGCTAAAAGGCCTGTCTGTCTGTGTGCTGGCACTGGGAGAGAACTGGCAGGAAACAGTACAAACACACAGGGATCAGTACCTCTTTCATATGGACAAGAGGGGGCTGGGATATTCCAGATGAGAGTCAGGCAGCAGTTTCATTCTGGTCACTGTTTTTGTTGTGTAACAGAAAAAGTATTGAGTTTGAGAAAAGACTTCAGTTCAGGAATTCGGGTACTTAGTTGTACATCACTGTCCACTCTGTGCAGGCCTGAGCTGAGCCTTTGACAAGAGCAGAGAGGGAACAGTGTGAAGATGAATTTCACAAACTGCTGTGACTTTTACAGCACAGTGTTTCAGCGACTCACACAGCAGATATTTTAGCACTAAGACCAGATGCTTAATCTATCGCTTCATAGCCGCAGCTACAGTGTGGTAACCACAGTGGAAAGTTTCAGTTGAAGCTTCTGATGTCATATCTAAAGCTACATTATGCTGCTTTTCCACTATCAGAATCTAACGATCGACACCCCGTACTTCCCTTAACCATCACCAAGCACAGTGTCCGGGGTGGACGCAAATCATCCTGCTTTGTTTTCCCACTGTATTTTTTTCTCTGTCTCTCTGTCAGTCTCTGCTTAGAGGAGGGAGGGGCTGCTCCCTTCTCACACGGAGTCAGCTGTGTGTTTACACACAGTGCTTGTAATGCTAATGATTGAAGTGTAAGCAAGTGAATATTTAACCAGTTACCGGCAACAGCTCTGTGTGCATGTACCATCTCTCCCCTCACTTCTGGTACTTGATTTTAGTGCTACTTCCTGAGGGGTGCCAATATTTAGCTCCCAGAATGCACCTCCAAAGCGGGACAAGTGTAGTGGAAACAAATGCAGAACCCACGATGAGCGTTAAGTGGCGCAACATATTTTAGTATGTTCTTATAATGGAAAAATCCCTTTAGTGTCTTTGTATGGATTTAAGTTTCAAAGTGTTTAAACCTGTGCCATGCATGTGTATGCACACAATATGTACCAGCTTTGGAGAAAGTAAATAGTTCCCGGCACTCTGTAATGTGTTCTATTGGCAATGGATTACAACAAAACCTCATATAAAATAACTAAATAACAGGGCAAAAAACAAGCCATTTAGAGAACAGGATGTAGTAAAATGGCTTCTGCTACCGAGGGCATTGTTGATTATTTCCCAAAAATGCATTGCATGACTATTCCTGTTTTAACATCCACAAAGACAACATCCTTTTTCATGTAAGATAAAGAGGAAAATTTAAATTAACTGCATGCTGTTCACATTAGGCTCTGTTTGGTTTTGTTCCATGTGTGCACAACTGAACAGAATTCTATGCAGATTACTATGGGATCATTAGAATTAGCCAAATGCTCTAACATGTTGCTGAAAAACCCTGGTGTGTGCATCCATGTCCTACCCAGCCACATGTGTATGTTGTATGAAGGTGCTGGAGTGGTGAAGAGCAGCAGGTAGGCGTCCCCAGTGTAAAAGCTGCCATACAGGCTCTTGGGAACCGGCTTCAGGTCCATGTTCTCGATACGCCACACCTGTAGCCCTGGTTGCTTCCCTGCAACTTCAAACTCCTTATGGGAAACCATGATGGCTCTGGGAGAGAAGAGGAGATGGATGGCAGTGAGAGGGAGGAAAAGACATAAGGACATGCAGACAAACAAGAGGAGGAGGAGGAGAGGGACAGGGTGTCTTATTAATGTTTTTGCCTTCAAAAACCTTATTGTAGATGAAATCTTGATAACCTTAACCCACAGAGGAAGTCAAGAATGCGAGCAAGCTTTTTTTTTTTTTTTGCTATAAAAGCCACAGTGTTTCCTGAAGATTACATGGTTCTGAGTAAGAGCAGGAGGTACGAGACCTCTCAACCATATTTGTACATTAGGTATGTACAGGCTAAACTAGATTGCATATAATTAGCATGTGTTTTCTTCCATCAGTTGTATCTGGCATTTATGGTATATCACTAAATTGGATGCTTGTTTTAAACAAAGTCCAAAGTCCAAAGAGACAGAGAGCTGTTTTTTAATATCTTCATTTCTGCAAACAAAGCTTTTAACACCCCAAATTTAGTTTGAAATAAACTGTTCAATCAGTGAAAGCAGATTAATGGAGGAACTTTGTACCATAATCCAGTGATATGTAATCAGTAATTCATACCTGAGATAATCACTGTACACCCAGGTATCAGCGCTACCTTTTATACTCACACGGCTTGTTTTTAACAGCTGATATGGAGTGAAAACACAGTGTTATATTACTGTGATATTACTACTTCCTGATGACGATGCTTTATTAAATTAACCCTGTGAACACACTACACATACATAATAAAACTAGTTTGCATCATCAAATCTCAAATTCAGGGTTTAAAAAACTTAGCTCATGTGTCTTTGCAACGCCAAGGTTGTCAGATTATACAGACTGCTGTTTGCCAGATTACAAATCAGTGAGGCAGCAGGATTAGCTGCTGTAGTGAAGCTGAAGTTGACTGTGATGGCACAAATGTGACAATGCCCACTTCTTCACTACTGCAACACACGGGCTTTACCGTCCACATCATTCACCCCATGATCCACAGATTGTAACTACCTGTGCGTCCCGCTCTTTGTAAATGGTGCATTATCTATTTACAGTTTGATAAAAGATCACATCGTACTCTCTGCCAAGACAAACGCAGATCAACCACTCAATCATCATCACAGTTTGAAGGAGCATTATTATCACTGTGGTGTTTGTTCAGCTGGCTATTTGCTGAGCCTGGAGTAGTTCAGGTTACAGCAGAGAGAAAACACCCAACAGTACTTCTAACAGGCTGCTGCATCATGGGCAAAGCTTTTAGATCACTAATGGACACAACTGTGTGGAGCAAGATGCAAGAGTCCAAGAACACTGATATGAATATACTGTAATATGACAGGTCTAAGGGGCTCACTGCAGAGGCTGGAGGGATGAGCATCTCTAATGAGTGACTTGATGTAATCTGCTGCTTGCACCAGCTTTGCTGCTCTTCTGCTGACTGATCACATTGAGGGCGGATATTTAATTAGACAAATGCATTTGTAAACAATAAATTAAAAGAGAATCCCCATTAATCCCTGCTGCTTTCATACTGAGCTGTATTTACACTCCACCTTTTTTTTTGTATTACATAACATTCAGACTGCTTGGTACTTGACTACTATTGCAAGTTAATGGGCTCGATTTCATTCGCAAGATAATAGGCTATCAGAGAGCTGCAGAGTATTATCATTGAAATAAGTAAACCAATAGCCTGTGTTTCCAAAATAAATCTCATGCATCGATATACTTTGGTTTCTGCATATCCGACCCTGTCATTGGCTGCTGTGACCCAGTAAAGCGAAATGAAAACATCTGGAAATAACATCACTGCACACTTTACAATCTCCAACTGAACTGTACACCGATGCGCAAAACACTAATATTATTAACCCAGAAATTCTGCACAAATGTAAAGGCTTACCGGATATATATCAAAGTCCAGAAACTCACAAGAAGGTGCGCGAACCTGGACTGGAAGAAGTGAACTCACAGTGTGGAAGATGAATCACAGAGGAGAAGGAGGAGCAGAACCTCAGACGGACCGGGTGGATGTGGGAATGAGCTGCTGTATGGAGCGTCTTTATGATTTTATGTGGTAGAAGGGGAGGTGCAGGAGGAGGAGGGCGTGTTTGCTTTGTCAAAAGGAGCAGTAAAGAACCTGTGTGTCCTGACAGAGGACTCCTTCCGAGGTGTGCTGACTGTGCGTAAAATTCAGCAAATCATCTGGTTATAGATTTGTCTTTGGCTGTGGTGTGCGGGTGACTCTGTCTTTTGATATGTGACACTTCACATATAAGATTAAGAGGTGCACAGGTCGGAAGGGACGACGCCCAGGAAGTCGTCGTTTCTTCTGAAATAAGACTTGAGTCAAAATCGTGTTTGTCTTTGACGTAAAGAAATGGTGTCTGCAAAAATATCGGAAGAAAGGGCACCTCCCCTTGATTTCTTTGAAGGCGGAGTTAACAGGAACCATGAAAAAAGCCTACTATACACACCATTACACACACCAAATATGAATTACTACAGGTCAGAAGTGTACTTTGTACTCACCATCTGTTAGATAACTCTAGTTACTTTTCAGAATGACATTAATCAAACAAAATACAGTATAATCATAAGACTTTACATGTGACTTTCCCACTGGGGATCAGTAAAGTACTTCAGAGAATACTGTATATACGTAGTTAATATTAGCTCTACCTTTACCAGCTGTAACATTAAATGTGATATGCACAATCATACATCAGTATTATGGTCCAATAATATCATATATATTAATGTGAACTGTGCCATTCTGCATAAATTGTACATTTACTTTTATTTAAGTATGTTTTATGTTAATACTTTTGTACCTTTACTTAAATAACAACTTGATTGCAGGACTTTTACTTGTAACTGAATATTTTTATGCTGTGATACTGTTACTTTTACTGAAGTAAACAACCTGAGCACTTCATCCATCACTGCTGCAGACAAGGTGTTTATTTATACATGGGCAGATTTCTTGCCTCAGGAGGCGATGAACAAATGTGGCTGTTTGTCCAAAGATGTTGACACATAAGAATCTTGCTAAAACAAAGCCATAAACAGGCAGGGGCTTCAGCTGGTTAAAGTCACGGCAGGTAATTAAATTGATTTATGCAATTGTGTTCACAGATGATTCAGATTACTCTTCAGGATTACTACTACCACTCTTCTTCAGGATACCTTTTTGAGGATTCTGCTTATGGGAGGAAAGAAATTTTACTTCTGTTTCACTGTGGGGATAATGACTGAGTTTCAGATCTGCTGTAATTTGATGCAGCAAATCAAACAAACTCACCAATAGGAGCTGCTTATTAAAAGCTTTTACACATTTCACAGTTTCAAAGGAAGTGGGTTGCTAAAATGTTCTCTCACAACATTTCATCACAACAGTTCAGCAACACAGCTGTACAAATGAAACTTACTACTAACTAAAGTTATTATTGACCTGTATGTAATGTCCGTTTGTCCAGTTTGGAGCAGCATGAAAGCGCCAGTGAACGGCTGGCACCATCTGTGATTCATTAGCTATAGATGACTTCAGCAGCTGATCATCAAGTGATTGTAGGTCACAACATAAACATGTGACATTTGTGTTTACTCATTTGTCAGACGTTTGTGTGTGCATGGTTCAGTAATGGAAATATTTGAAATAGAGCTGAGTGGATCAGTTTTACCATATTTTGGCTTCTGTCCCCTGGAATTAGCAGCCTCCCCCTTCACACAATGCCAAGCCCTTATTATCTCCATCCTCAGTGTCTTGCTACTTCTTCCAGAATGAGTCCACGGTAAATACCTAATAATTGGCTTAGCCACAGACATCACACTGAGCAGGAACTACGGGGGGCCACTGAGAACAAAACAAATGTCTCTGACCTTGAGTGGAAGCAGTAACTATGATATCTGCACCCACCCTCTGTGTATAAAGGTTCTGTTTATTGAGGGAAATATCAGAAGCATTGAGCTGCAGACTGGCGATTGTGGAGTAGTGTGGGAGGAGATAAAGGCCTTTCAACCACATCTACCATTAATGGTTGTTTTCCATTGTACCGGGTTAAACCACACAGCCTTTTCTGATGAAGCAAATAGGCCAACTCCCCCTCTTCATGAGTAGCATGAAACCTCAGCTGAAAACAACTCTGGGCAGGTTGTGCTCAGACCTCTGTTTCTTCACTTGAGGAGGAGCTTGCCTCTGCATTGTGTTTGTGCCGGGGAAATGGATGAACTGTTTCTGCATAGCTGTGGCCAAAACAGGGTTAATGCTAAAAATGTGACCCTAAAAAAGACACACACAACCTTACTGGTTTGTCACTGTGACCAAATCAAAGTTTCTGGTTTTTATCCTGAGTGGTATAGAAAGGCATTTATCACTTTGATTATAACGCAGATGGCCTGTACTGTCCTCCACCAATACATCTGAGACAGATGAGCCAAAACACATATCATTTTATAGGAATTTTTGCAGTCAGTGGATCATGATGAGTCCACTAAGGCACAAATAGGCAATCAAACATTTCTCTCTGTCTGAACATCATGTGATCCTGAACAGCGGTGTTGCCTTCTCATTTACTGTTCTCTCAGTCCACTGAGCCAACATCCTGAGGCTACACTGAGCAAACAAGGATCTTGCTTTTATCAGAGCAGTATGACTTTACTGTAGAGTACATCAGCTGTGTTGTGCACTGCTAACCAATGCCGGCTGTGGTTAGTTCATGTGCCAGACATCTCATTACTTCCCACAATATGGTGTGGTTAATGTTTACCTGAAGCTGTGCAACTGCTCTTTTTCATGCAAACTGTTCATGCAGCTACATTCAACCTCTCCTGCATCACACTGGTAGTGCTTTTAAAATAAATATCATGGTAGGAGTCTTTAGGTTGGAAGATATATTCAAATCCAAATTGGAAAGTACTCTTTTTCAATGTTTTTCTTAGAGTTACAGTAGACTGGAAGACTGATAGTATTTGCATATTGGTCCAGTGAATATAAAGCTCCAGCCAGAAGCTGGTTAGACTGGCAACAGAGAAACAACTACAGTAGCCTGGCTCTGTCCAAAAGCAACAAAAAAAAGTTCCTATCAGCACCTCTAAAGCTTATTGTACAAATTGACACATTATGTCTTGTTTGCTTAATCTGTACAAAAACCAAAGTGTACAAACAACAAATACAGGGTTTTATGTGAGAGGTTATTTCTTAGCAGAGCACACTAACTTCCACTGTCTCCACTGGGACCTGGCAACCTCTTCCTGACAAGAAACAGTAAGGCTTAAAAAAAAACTCAGTTATGTGCAAGTCATATTTTTCAAATTGTTGAACTATTGCTTTAAATAAACATACAAGTAAGTGAGCAAATTAGCCACAAAATACAGCATACAAATAGCCACATTAAAGTGTTTTTGGGTGCTACATGACAAACACAGCATTGTCTTCTTATCATTACAGTACATTTGCAGTTGAGCATGTTAGCAAACAGCTGCTTATGTACACATCACTTTCCTCCAGTCATACTTCTGGACACCTGCTAAATGTGAATCTAGTGCGTACGCTCTTTTAGTTAGATTTTTTGTTGCCACCCGCTCCTTACAGTAATATCTGGCTCTTTAAATGCTAAATACACCACGATGTTAACTTGCTAGTTGCAAACTTTCAGGCGTTTGTGCTGTCTTTTTTTTTTTTTTTTTTTTGTAAAAGTAGTTTGCTGAAAAAGCCGCCCCTTGTTTGAGTCAGGGATGTGCCAGGAAGGGCATCCCCGCGCCAAATGTCAACATGCGAGTTGTCAGTGTGACGATTTGCTGTGGCTACCCCTTAGCGGGAAAAGCCGAAAGTGACTTATATAGTTTTGCTGTAACATCAGCCCTCTGCTGGAGACTGAATCAGAATAGTGTGGGTGAATCAAAACAATAAGGTGGGTCCTAAACCAAAACAATGAGCTGAAAGACGTTATATTTTTGACAATGTGCAGCTTTAATTGAAAATAACTCATCATCCCTTTCAGACTATTATATTACATATACAATATATTACATTGCCACAATGGATGCTTTCCAAGGGTAACATGTAAATTATTGCTGTGCACAATATATCAAGCAATAAACACAGACAAGGGATGTGGACAAATGCATTTTGAGATTGAGCATCTGCTAATATGACAGTATTTATTACAAGTAGAGCAGTTACTGCCAACAGTTGAGTCCTAATGGGAACTTGTACCCTAGGTTAGGTTCTGGGATGTACTGTATTTATTCTTAGAGGTTTGTTAAATTTCTGACTTCGCAGTCATTTCCTTCTTTGTACAGTGGTGTTTGGTGGCTCCTGACTAGTTAATGTCTAGTTGAGTTTTATACATTCACTGACATATTATGGACAAACATTTGACTGAACATGTAAAAAGGCACTTTAATACACTCATTTGTGCACTTTGTGGAGTCAAATTTATTTTTAGCATTGTTGAATTTGTAGCCACCCTTGCACTTAATATAACAGGTCTGTAGAGAAAGCAGTTCTGGATGGAGGATGGAGTATCCTCTTCTGTTTGACATTTTACCTCCAATTACTGATTGGCAAACAAAATACATAGCATTTGATTAGAAAAAAATATATTTTTTCAACAAAACCCACCAATTTAGGGTTCAAAATAAAAAAACAAAAAGATGTTACTGAGTCCTGTGCTGGTTAAATTTCACATATACTGTCAGTCCAGAGTTTGGACACACTTTCTCATTGAATTGAATCATCAGTCTGAAATCTCATCAACTCTTTGCAGATATAATTGAGAAATACTATGTTTTGTTTATGATTATTATCCCATTAGATATAGGCAGACTGTTGTGGCAACACCTTGTACTCGAGAAACCTCACGTAGGAACTGGAACACAGCTCAGTGGCTCACAAACTGTTGACTGAACCACATCCTCTATGCTAAAAAAGTCTCAATACACAGAAACTCAGCAAAGGAGAAAGAGACACAGAGATGTTACTAAACCTCTGTATAACAGATATAAAAAAAATGGCCAAAAAACTACAATGGTCAGTCAGAGAAGCTTAGAATGATCCTTTAAAAACAGGCCAGGTAGGTTGTTTGCTGACAAAAATGATTGCAGTCTTTGTCTCTAGTACACACACACACACACACACACACACACACACACACACACACACACACACAAAGAGAAACCCTCCGATAACTACTGAGGCCTCTGCAGAGGAAATGTTAATATGAACAGCCCCACTTGTGCGGCAGCAGGAAATTACTCGATATGTATATCATTCAATCAGACTGCAACAAGCGACTAAACCTCGGAGCTGGACTGAAATAAGTAACCACTGTTTTAGTCATTTTGCCATTACTGAATACTCTAAATTAGTCTAAATAATGTTGTCGGCTCTACTCTTGAGAAAGCACAGACTGATTGGGAGACAAAGGCCCCCAGGCAAAGACATGTATAAGCCACAACCACTTAGCAGGAAGGTACTCTAGGGACGGAAGTATATGTTGGAAAATATTTATTTTAAATGATTTTTTTAAGTGACTGGAATAGTTTGGACATTCTAGGAACATGCCCATTTCCTTTCCTGTCAAGAGTTGGATAAACTGGAGCCAAAATTCAGAAGCTTAAACAGCCTGGCTCTGTCCAATGGTAACTAAATCTGTCTACCAGTTACTCTGAAGCTCACCAGTTACTGCTTCCTCTTATCAAACAAAAACTGAAGCGCTCTCTCTGGCGGCACTGATGTCCTGAAATCCTGTCACCATGAGGTTGCCAGGCACCAGTGGGTTGCTTCAGAGGCATCTACCCAGTTTCCTGTCCTTATGTTAAACTAAACTGAACTGTCTTCCAGCTGTTTCAATTTGACAGACATGAGAGTAGCATCAATCTTTTCAGCATATTTCCAAAAATGCCAAATTACTGCTTTAAAAGAACCCAGACTGGAAGGAATAAAAACAGGGGTGCCCCTAGATCTTAGTTTTAAAAGAGAAAAGCTAAAAACAGTAGCTTCAAACAGTGTCTGGCTCAATCCATCAGTGTGAAAGACAGCTGTTCTTGTGCAGGTACACACATTTGTTTATTATGATCAGCAACAGGACAGTGTTACACACAGTAAGCAAACAAAAGATGTGCTTCCTTACTAGCACTTAATCTGAGGAGTAAAAAAAGCCCAAAGGAATACAACTTTTCTGAAAACCATCCCGTAAATAGTTCTGACATTCCTCTTATGTAACCACATGAGAATGCCAAATCCAGTTTAACCAGCCTGGGTCTGTATTAGATTTACTGTGACCCCCCTCTGTGAACCTGAGCCAAAAATTCCTCTCGTGGAAGCTGCCGCTTGTTTTGGTAACATGACCCCATGGTCGCCAGCAGCGTGTGAACATCCAAACAGATGTTAGTGAAAGCAGGGTTTCACGTTTCTGTGCAGAACATGTAGGAATCACAGTGGCAGACAAACAAAACACAATATATGTAAAGAAAGGCAAAGCACTTCATTTAAAAAACATTTTATTTGCTTATTTAAAATTGTGTTGAAATGCATAAATAGTTGTTAGAAAAACATGAAATGCAAATGCTACATTTATATGAAACAACATCACCGACTGGAAAACTAGAAGTTACCTAAACCGGACTGATAATTTAGATTTTCCCTGGAAGACAACATTGGAGCTTGATTTCAATAACACACCTAGAGGACAGACGTAATGAGAGATGCTCATGAATGTAGGACAATATTACACACAAGGATGACAACAATGTACATCGCTCTTCTTCCTCATGTCTCCTTGACATCCCTCTAAAAGACAAATAAACATGATGAGTGACACAGAGATGCAGCCTTCTCAACATTAAACACCTTAATATACGGTCCAAACTGAAAAGGCCCTGAAAACACTTTGTTAGCTTCTTATTCTGAATGACACAGTCCTAGAAATACATCATTTCCTGTTAAAAGCAGTCTGGGGAATTTTGCTGTGGGTTAATGTGCATGGGGCTAAACTTGAAAAAGATGTCATGTATGTATTCACCAATCAGGGTTTAGCAACATTTATGAGGGTGTTTATGTTGCCAGTGAGTTTCTGAGAGTTCATGTCTTACTGAATAACCAAGTATGGTTTCTTTCACACCTTTAACTTGTATTATTACCTCCTCAGATTTTGATGAAATATCATTGGAGAGGTAGGGTATGGCCCACAAAACAATCCATTAGGTTTTAGTGCTTTTTAAGAATTCTTCACCATTGTGAGATAGGTCCAATTTCCATATTTTTGCTTTTAATTCTGCCTAGAGCACTCAGAGAAAACTCGCTACCGGGAGGCAACAAATAATGCTATAGACTTGCAACTAAGATCAAATTCTATCTGACTCAACAGGGTGTCAACAGACTTGACATGTCTTAAAAAGCTACTGAGCTACATCCTGAAGAAAAATGCCATTACTGAAATATTGCTTTCTTGAATAACTTTCAAACTAGTAATGATATTAATGATTAATTCATTAATCAATGTTAATAATTTAATAATAGTGCAGAATGTGAAGATGTGTGCAGATTGGAAGAGGAGACCGCAGAGAACACTGCTGTAGCTTTCTGCTAAAGTTCAGAACACACAGTACATGCTTCTGAGAATCAACACTGACCTGAGTAGAGATGCTTTTGTCTGGTGGCAGTACCTGTACATAAATGCAGAAAGATTTCCTGGACTGATCAAAGTTAGCCAGGAAATCTGTAGGCCACTAGCTGAGCAGCTCTACTGCCTACAATGAACAACACACCAGCCACTTCGGTCATTAGGTAGGCTATGGGTATTATCTTGGATTTGTCTTGCCAGTTGTTGAACAGAGACAGAAATGAGTGGAAGCTCCGATTTTAAACAATGTTGTTATATTATAAGGGTCAAACTATGATGGGAATATTGTTTTTAGGGGTAATGGCATTACGGGAACAGCGATCCACCTTGGCGGAGGTCTGCACTCTCTGAGTGCTGTGTTAGTGAGAACATTTGACACCAATTTTTCAGGGGCTTTAAACTCAAGTGGCACCTACAGCAGCATCTAGCTGATTATCTCTCCCCTAAATGTAAATGTACATCAAACATATACCATTACATCATTATTGCATGGTAAAGCCTGCAGACCTGGGATCTGATGTCCAGCCTGTTATGCAGTTTTTACCATTAAACACATACAGAGTGGAACCAAATTAGAGGCTGAACCAATATAATGGTGAGTATACATGTGTTTTAAGACAGTGCCTCTGACGCATTTCAGTTTAGTTGACTGTAAGCATATTTGGATAATTACTGTGAATTACTACTCTTTATGACCATTGTAGGTTTGCAACTAATGATTTTCTTTACAGACATGAGTGAGGTTGTTACCTGTAGTGCGAGGACTGTGTCAGGTCTTTGACAAACCTGTGGAACTTTGTAAAGAAAGGTCCTCCTGCATGGCTAATGTCTGATTAACAAACTTCAGCATCCCCGTCAGTGAACTCAAGTCCACCTCCTCCTCCTCACCCACCAGGGTGCACTGAGACTCCCTCCTCGACTCCTTCAGCCACTCACTGCCTCCCTCCTCCATCGAGGTAGCCTCCATGTTGGGGCTTCCTTCATGTTGTTTGTCTACCATGTATGTAAGGGGGTTGAAGGAGAGGTCAGAGGTTGCTGTGGCCTCCGCAGCACTGAGGCCCTGCCAGCTGTAGTCCAATGTGTGTGGGAAAGGGGACATGGAGGGGGTGGACGACTCCCATGACTGCTCGCTCAGAGCTTCCCTGAGTGTGGCTTTAAGGCTCAGGAGCTCCAGGGAGGAGTCCGTGCTACTGGTCTTCAGCCAGTCGTGAGTTTGATGGCTCTCAGGCAGGTGAGAGCCTGAGGTGAGCTGGAGGTGTGTGTGAACAGGGGGTGATGAACAAGTTTGTCTGCGTGTTGGGGAGTGGAGGCGAGTTGAGTGAGAGTGTAGAGCAGAGCAGACAGTTTGATGCTTCTTAGGGGAGGAAGGAGGGGAGTGGGCAGAAGACGAGCACTCTGAGGATTGTGTGAATTTGTGTAGCGCAGGAAGAGCGAGGGTGTGATTGTACAAATTCTGGCGATCAGCAGCTCGCTCCAGGCTGGAGATCCTGGCTTGGAGACGAGTCACCTCGGACTCCTACAGGAGGAACGAACACTGATAAAATATTTACAAGAACTTCTATTATGTAACTTTCATCGTGCTCACACTGCTAAAACTTCACCTTGATGAGCAGGGACTCATTGGAGGTCTCCATGGACTTTGTGGAGGCATTTAGCTGAGCCTGAAGCTGGGCGGCCTGGACTCTGGCTTGATTCAACTGGGTACTGAGCTGCTCAAGCTGGGCATGGAGGTGACTGTTCTGGGCACTGGTCTGCTCATACAGATTCCTGCTCTGCTCCAGCTGGGTTTGACTCTGACGGAGCTGGCTTTGGCTCTGCTCCAACTGCATTTGGAGGTGACTGGCTTGGTTCCGGGTGTGACTCAACTCAGTCTTAGTCTGGTCCAGCTGAGCTTTGGTCTGATCACACTGGGCTTTGGCTTGTTCTAGCTGGTTTTGGCACTGCTGAAGTTTAGCAGCGAGCTGCTCCTGGGAGGAGCGCATGGTGGAGGAGATCTGCTCAGAGACTTTGAGGAGCTGGCCTCGAGTCTGCTGCAGGGACTCCAGCTGGGGAGGAAGGGAAAACAGACTGATGAGGGAGACTTGTTTTTACAAGCAACTTTCATTACAGCAAGGTTAGAACAATCCCAGCTGGTATGAGCTTCAACTCTGTGGACTGGCTTTATGTTATTTGACTAACTTTTAGTACACTGCTCTAATAATATCTAATAAAACCAAACAGGACAAAGAGTTAACAAACAGCATTATGCAAAATAACAGCTGGGTCTATGATGTTATCAGCTGCGCGTGAGAGAGACGAGGTGACAAGAAAACAGAACTGAAAATGGAAGAAATAAGGAAGTCACAAGTCAAAAAAGAGGAAAAGAACAGACAGAAACAGGTGTAAAGGGAGAACCAAACCCACATTACATTTATTACACAAATGAAGAAAGACAAACTCACGCTGACACATGAGGTAGCATGTGATACTGTGATAACAGTGTGATGACACCAAGTCAAACTATAGCTTTATCAGTAACATCATGGAGTGGAGTTATAGTAAGACTGCACAACAGCATTCATCAGTCATTTAAGTTCTAGTAAAACAAAACCCACTCAGTCAAAGTCTAAGGTCTAGTCTTGACTACTTCCCAACTGTTGTTCCTATTAGAACAGATGGGTGTAATGTATTAGTGACAATGAGCCCAGTTTTGAAGCCTCAGTGGTTAGTGTACCTCCTTACTGTGCTGCTCCCTCTCCAGTTCCAGCTCCTGCTCTAAAGATGTGACCATGCTCTGCAGCCTGGCCTCCGACTGCAGCCAGTGTGCCTCCTTCAGAGACAGCTGCTGTTCCACCTCACACAGCTGGACCTGCTGCAGAGACACACAGCAGAGTGAAAATATCATTTCAACAAGTCATTCATTCTTTTATTTACCCTACAGAAGTCACAGGATCTCACAATAGATGAGATGGTTTGGGAATCACTGCTAAAACAATTTGCATCTAAAATGTATTTTTCTTTGTTAATCACACAATATCTACAAGACAAAACTCAACACAACCTATAGCCTTGACTAAGTGAATAAAAGGGCACCTCAAGACTCACTTCTGCTACCACATTTTGTATGGAATAATTTTGATATAAGCAATTAAAAAAAAAAAAGTACTCTGACTTTACCGTTTCTTTGGTGGCATCCAGTTCTCGGGTCAAAGCCTCACAATGACATTGACTTTCTTCAAGGTCTTGCAGCACAGTCTTTAGTTTCTGCTGACACATATGCAGCTGCTGGTTGAGCTCCTGGGACTCCTAATGCACACATAAACACACACACACAGTCAGTTTTTTACCTATACCTAGCTAAAACTAAGTCAGTCTAATCCAACAGTCCTGCAATGAAGGCGACAATGTCCAGCTTGTGTTCAGACTGCATTGCATTATACTGACACTCGTTTCTATTTTTTTGGCCACCCTATTTGTATCAATGAGACTCAGCTAAATAAATAATTTACTGTATAATTGTATCAGATTTTTTTAATATTTAAGCAAAGTGAATTTATTAAGATCTCATCCATTTGTTTCTTTTCACGCTCACATGCACTGATGAATATGCAGAAGGAAGTCGTTTCTGAATATCTTGTATATTTTATTCTGCAACTCCTCCTGACCTTCATGTTTCTGTTGGTGAGCTCCTGCTGTGCATCTTTCAGCTCTCTCTCTCTGGCATCTAGGCTCTTTTGCAGAGACTCCACCTTCCTCTCCATTTCCTGCTTGTGCTCTCTGATGGCCACATCCAGCTGGCCCAGCTGAAGACAGGACGACCGGAGAGAAATGGAAATTAAAAACTGACAAAGTGTGGAGAAAGATGTCAGCAGAACACATTCTGCAAATCAAATAAAATATGCATCAAATATGTGTGCGTGTTGTACCAGCTGTGCTCGCTGTTGGAGCTCCCCCTGTCTCTCTTTCAGTGCACGGTCCATGTCTAAGACCTCATGAGTTCTCTCCTCCAACTCCCTCTGGGTCTCACTGTGAAGTCATACATACACACGCAAACTTTGATTGAACAGATGATTAGATATCTAATCGACATTTGTAAAAACCACACAGAGGAAAGAACAAACACCCTGAAGAAACGGCATCTGTCTGCTTAATCGCAGAAATAACTGTGCGATTCTTGCACAGCCAAATACAGGGAACATGATTTAAAGGCTTTCTGTATAAGAGTTTATTGTTGATTTGTTGTTCATATCAGTGCCTTTCGTGTGTGCAAAGGGGCTCAGGACTTTAACCTAGATCATGACAACTTATTACAACAGCTATGCTCTTCTTTAAAGAGCACTTTCTGTCAGGCAAGTCCCTGCTAGTAAAGCTAACATGAGCTCACTGGGCTCTGAAAGACAAAAACACTGGAAAGGCTAGATCAAGACCCGATTACTAAACCGAGACACAAAGAATGCTGTCTTGCCTGTTCTTTCTTAAAATTATTCAGTCAACCATGAGTGCATGCCCATTTGACTACTTGATGTGCAAGAGCTGCAGACAGCGTGTTACATAATGCATGTGACTGACATGTAGTTTTATCTGTCAGTTTTAAATAAATTACATAACAATCCAGTTACATGACACATTGCACAGCTTATACTTTGAATAATAAGGAAAATAAATAAACAAACAAAAAGGGAATTTCCTCAATAAAAATAAATAAATGTCACAATTTCATCTGAGCGTACACAACATCATCTGGAGAGTGTGAAACTAAGTCAGACACTAGAACCACAGCAGGATCATTGACTGTGTGTGTGTCTTTTAATGTGTTTATGATGCACATGAACAACATGGACAGTGTTTCAAACACAGGCGATTTGGATACAGTGGAGGATCTTATCTGAGCAACGGCACATAGACATTTTCTCCAGCTGAGGCTGATTCCTTGTCCATGTGTGCAGAAGAATATTTCAAGAGAGCATCCTCACCTAAGCTGGACATCCAGTTTTTCCACAGAAGCTTGCCGCTCATCTGCGATGGTCTGAGTTCTCTGCAGAACATCCCTGAGCTTCTGTAGCTGCTCCAGAGTATTGGCCAACTCTTCCCGCACTGCCTGCAACTGTTCCTCCAGAGTCTGAACCCGCTGGACGCAGTTGAGCCGGTCTGCCTCGCAGCGATGGAGCTTCTCTTCCAGATCCACGACTGTGAAGGACAAGAATAATTAAGACTAAAATCAAGTTATAAGTGTGAAACTGTCACATGAGGACTGGGGAAAAAACTGACATTCAAGCACACTGTACTATGCAGATTACAAAATGGCATTGTACCCATGTTATTCTTGCTGTCGAGCTGACTTCTTATGTGTTGCAGACTTTCCTCCATTCGGCTGACCTGAGAAGTCTGGACAGTGACTTCCCTCCGCAGACGCTGCAGCTCTGACTCTTTAGACACTAGCTCGCCTTGACACTTTGCATTCTCTAAAGACAGATGGCTGCAAAGAGGAGGAGAGAATACACATATGGCTATAATCAGTACAATTTTCGAGAAACATAAAAAAAAACAGAGAAAGAAAGCAAACAAAGTTGTTTGGAGGAGGGTGTGCAATAGAAAAAAAACACTGCATTCTGTGTACAGCTAGGGGATATGCAACATGTAACACATATGCCTCCCCACCTTAACGTGAGCAGGGCTTCCATCATAGTCTTAGAGCAAATTGAGAGAGGAGGAACAGCCTTCAGAACAATCAGAGAAGCTACATGAAGCCTTTTGATGGCACATTTAAGAACCAGCTTTGGATCTGATAACAACTTCACCAAAGTGGAGATAAACAGAAGCCCTGCAGACTGAAATCACTATCATCAGGCTTCTCTCTCTCAAGTGATACCCCCATTTATATACACACACACATGCACAGACAGGGAGGGCTGCTTCGTGACTAAAGACAAATGGGATGTGGTGTAATCATAAGACTTTCTCACAAACTCTGGAGGGGGTTGGTTTTCTTTGCTGCAGGTCAAGAGCAGCACACTTGAAAAACGGCTTTGTCATAAACAAAAGTTCCATATAAACTGCATTAAACAGCATCACTATAGGTTTGATAAAGGCTTTGCATTATCAACAAATGTTCTTTGTTTTCTCTCCCCCACACCTACTCATAGCCTACCATTTTCTCTGTTTCTTCCTTTACCTTATACTGTATCCTCTCATTTCCAGACTGAATAGAGTTTAATACACCCACACAACACACCCTCACATGCACACGCTGCGTAAAAACCTCTTGTACACTCATTTTACACACTTATATTCCTATGTTCTTTTGTAAATATCACGCATCCATTGTTTTGTCTTCCATGTCCTGTCCAGTTAATATCCTATGCTTTGTGATGCCTGCAGAAAAAAAAAAAAAAAAAAAAACACGATATACCTAGGGTTGGGTATTGAGAACTGGTTCCAAATTTCCAAGAACCCAACCCTAAATATACCTTCTAAAAAGTGGAACTAATGTAATTTCAAAATATCTGGTGTTGAATACAATCTTGTTTATAGCATTGCGGTCTTAATGAGTTAAAAGCCACAAAAATCATCTGATTGAAAATTCCCACTTTCATTATCTCTTAACTTGAATTTTCTATTTCATCTGTTCTTCAGTGTCTAAAGTGCGTCTGAAGTCCCCGTGTGTAGAGATGCTCTTACGTGACAGACTCTGAGAGTTTGGTGTTCTGCTGGTTCATCTCCTGCAGGTTTTTGTCTTTCTCCTGAGCCTCCTGCTCTCTGGTCCTCACCGCATCCTGTAGAGAGGCCCGGGATCGTTCCAGCTGCTGCTCCAGACTGGCCACCTGCAGACAGATGCAATAAAAACAAACAATATTTATTTCATGATCAGTACTACATTATAAATCTGGAGAGATCACAGGGACCAAAAAAACGATACTAAAGAAACCGTGGCCCAGAAATACATTTTATTTGAGAACAAATTTATCTTGTAGAGTGGATCTGACCTGCTACTCAAAACAAGGAAAACTCAACTTGTTGACAATCAATCCCTACAGGCCATTTGTTGTTCTTGTTTGTATGCAGTTCAGACCTTCATGTCCACACAGAGGCTTATGTTACTGTCCCTGTGCAGCCCTGTTCCCTGAATGGAGAACAGACTGTGCTGTCTTTTTAGGACAGAAAACAGAGCAAGCAGCTAAAGTGAGCTGAACTACAAATGAAATCACAAGCTCAGACTGATGTTTTCCTTAGCCAATGATACAGATTTTCCACAAGTCTGTGCAAATCTGCACGTCGGCCTACAGTCACTCTTCAGTGTGTCTTCCCCACTTCATGGTTTGCTAAGGGAATGTAAAGCTTCAACAAAAATGCTCAAACCTTGCTAATAAGAAGCCTCTTTTAAGGAAGTGAAATACCTGAAAACAAATGCACTGCAGTGGATTGACTCAACCTAAACAGGGAAAAACAACAGCATAACGAAAGCAACTGGCGCCTAAAGAGGAAGCACAGTGTTCACTCTGCTGATGCTCCTTCTAACCGACAAACACCATTTCCAAGAATTATTAATGAATTTAACCACAAATCTGAAAACCAGTTCAGCAATGCATTAACTTAGATTAAGGAAGGGAGTGTTGTGCAAAGCTGCTCAACATGTAACACACCGTGTCCGACGAATACAGGGAGGAAGAAAAGACAAAACAGTTCTCCAAACCAAGGCTGGATTACCAACCAGGCAAACTGGGCTAGACATTTAGGACACCTAAAGACTTCAGGCTCACTGTGAGGGCATTAGAAGTAACTGATTAATGAATAATGTATTTGGTAATACACCAGTGACACACAATGTGCCTGCAAACAGAACTGCAATATTACCAGGGTCTGGTTTTAAGGGCCTTTCTGTTACTATACTATTTATTACACCATGCTTACATGTTTACTATATATTCCTAACTAAATGTATATTAATAACTAATTTAGTAGAAGCACAGTTCACAGAAAGTGAAGAGACTGTCAATAGGGGTGTCACCAGTTCTTTTTTGCCCATAGCTTGTTAATCTGGCCCTGGATCACATGTTAAGTTGTTCACTTGAAAATACCACTTACTCAACTTACTGTATCAGATAACATTGCTTCCATAAATATCCATGTAGTTATTTTATCTTCTGTATTAAGACAAATGAATATATCAACCACCCATAACATTATGACCACTGGCAGGTGAAGTGAATAACACTGACTATCTGTTAAAGTGGCACCTGTCAGTGTGTGGGGTGTATTAGGCAGCAAGTGAACATTCAGTCCTCGAAGTTGATGTGTTGGAAGCAGCAAATATGGGCAGACATAAGGATCTGAGTGACTCTGACAAGGGCCAAACTGTGATGGCTGATAACTGGGTCAGAGCTTCTCCCAGACCGCAGGTCTTGGTGGGTGTTCTTGGTCTGCAGTGGTCAGTACCTACCAACAGTGTCTAAGGAAGGACACACAGTGAACCAACGTCCAAGGCTCACTGATGATGAGGTCGATCTGTAGATTAAACTTTTTTCATTCATCCTTTTCAAAAGATTCCATTTGAATCTTTGTTATAATTGTTTGAAAATGAGAAATAATGTACATTGGTCACTGAGTTCAGATGTTTTTAACAATAATATAGTTCAACAATAGAAATGAAGTCCTGTTAGAGTCATTAAATTGGATACAAAATATAAAGAAGAACTCAAAATCAAAAACACTCCACGATTTTCTGTATACTGAGAAAGCCTTTGACTGCTTCTAGCTTACCTGTTTCTGCAGCTGGCTCTGGCTCTCCTCCAGTTCAGAGATGCGGACTGTGCTCTCAGTCAGCATGGTCGTCTGCTGCTGGAGAGAGAGCTGCAGCTGTAGGTTCTGCTCACTGGAGCTCTGACAAACCAGACTTGCACTGTGAAGCTTCTGTTGCAGAGAGGCAACCTAACGAGGGAGGAAAAGGAGCAAGATAAGCCTGAGAAAGGAACTTTGCATAAACTGTAAAAGAACAAGCAAGATAAAAGACAGGCACAGAAACTCTAAAGAGGTAAGAAGTCTCATGTCAGTTACAACGCGTTTCCTCGGTTCCTCTCTCCTTGCATCTTTTCCTCACATCTTACATGAGGGGGACAAAGATGCAAGGAAAAGACGCAAGTGAGGGAAACATGGCGTTTCAAAGACCACGACAGTATATGCAACACAGTACCTTGTCATTGTTCATCTGCAGCTCGCTCTCATAGTTCTTTTTCACCTCCTCCATCTGCTGCAGGTATGACTTCAGTTCTTCTCTGCATGCTGACAGACACGACTGTAGTTCACACACCTTATGGACACACAGAAGTCATGGATGGGGCAGACTAGTGGTTTTGCTGGAACATGTTTTTCCACAATTAAATCTCGATGGCTCGTTGTGTCTGACAGTGGTAAGCCATTCTTTGTACAAACCTTGCTGGCAGACTGAGTAGCCTGCTCTTTCAAACTCTGTAGCAGCTCCTCGTTGTGTCTCTCTACAATCTGCTTCTCCTGAAATTACATCAAAATCAAAATTGTTCCTTCACTGTAAAAAAAATGCAGTATAAAACTGGGTTGAATTAGAGTTATTGTCTCTTTAGCTTAAGTCTGAAATGGCTTCTGTGTTTTCCTCTGTGAAGGTAAAGAGATGTACTGCTTTGATCCTGACCTGTGTGAGGTGGTCCACTGAGGTCTGCAGCAGGAGAACTGTTTTCTGTGCCTCATCGCGTTCCCTCTGACGTAAACTAAGCTCCTGCTCCATCTCCAACACCCGAGACTGACCCTCTTCTACAGACAGCTGCAACTGCAGGAGAGAGAGAGAGCAGTCATACATGTTCTAGTAATTCTACTTAAGACAAAGCTCTGCTGTTGGAAATATATGGTCACAGCCTCTGTTGTTTTACCAACAGATACAAATTCTCTCCATCTCCGATGACATCCAAGTACAAGTGAACTTAAATCATACTTGACATTAATGACTCTGTCATTGATGAAACAAAAGTTGGCTGAATGGAAATACAATGGGCTGAACAGTGACATGGTGGTGTGGCACAGTTACAGTGTGAAGGTTCACAGGAGACAAAGTGAGTCAGAGAAAGCTGTAGATCACCATTTCTATTCTGTGCTGCTGCTCCATCCATTGTTCAGAATGTGATTTTTTAGACTTGTCCAATGACTGCTGGTAGTCTCTCTGCTTTTTGGTCATCAGTGACTGGTAATGCTGAAGAGTGCTGGTCTTCTCCTGTAATCAAATAAATGAAGGATGACATGTATTTAAGGTGTTGACGTCCAAGACAAATTGAGCAGAACTCGCCTGCTCTTCATGCCTGTATGGCACAGTGTGTGAGTTATGTACTGTACCAGTAGCTGATTCTCCAGTTCAGTGTTCTTCAGTGCAGCCTGACTGTAGGCTGACGTTTTCTCCTGTAACTGTTTCTCAAGTGCAGCCACACGTGCACTTTTTCTCTTCAACTGAGGTGAAACATAGATTCCAAAAAAAACTAAATGAAATTAAATAGCTTGTAAGAGCAACAATGGTGATAACTGATAATGGTATCAAGCTTGGTAAAAAAGAAAGAAGCTACCTCTTTCTCTGTGTTAGTGGCTTGGCTGACTTTGTCCAGCAGCTCCATGTGGAGGCTCTGGTAGTGGGAAGCTCTCTGGGCCATGGAGCTCTGCAGCGAAGAGATCTCCTCCTGGGCTCTGCTCAGACGCTCCTGAAGGCGCTCGACCAAGCTGTTCTGTTTAGCTCGCTCAGCCTCTGCAGACTGCAGCACTCGCAGCAGCTGCTGGTATCCTTCACCTGCAGGGATTGAGCAACAAGAAGAAAAAAGACTGGGATGCTTCAATTCCTTACAGGAAAAGAAAAAGAACGGGTCTCATTCCAACTAAATCAAGTTTCAATAATCCAAAAGCATTTTCTCTAAGAAAACAAATATATGGAAAATAATTACATGGCAATTGCAAGAGAAGTATTAAATAAAAGCTCTGTTGAAATTCACCGATAACATAAAATGTAATGAATTACACTAGAGGTTTGTGAGCTGGTATCTCTAGAGGATTTTAAAGTTATAACCGAGTCTCTTATTGACCACTCTTGTGCATGATTTTAAAGTTTTAACTGAATCTCCGACTACTCATTCTTGCACTTTTTGGCAAGAATCATCGTATAAATTGTAGACTAGTGTATCTTGTTTTTACCTTATTCTATTGTTGTTGTTTTGATGTATTCTAGGGTGTATCTGGTTTGATGTATCTTGGTTTTATGACTCTTATCATCTTATCTGAATGTATAGTTTGACTTCACTGTCAAATATTTGTTTTGCTTGTGAAATTGTTTTATCTTGTGTAAACAGGGTGTCCATGCAAAAGAGAGTGAAAGAGCTCTCACAGGACAACCCTGAATAAATAAAGGTTGAATGAATGAATACCAGGCTTTAGCTTGAGTAGGTGCGCAGTCCCAGAGTAGTCCACTGGGGGCAGTGTGCAGGGCCTGGCACAAAGTGGCCCCACAGTACCCTGAAGGTAAAAAAAACATATTTGTCAAATGTTATGAAAACACATCATCCTCTGTGCAAGATCAGTGATAAATATGGAAACATGCTTGGGACAGTTGCTGTGGCACCAAACCCATGTTTAGCAAACAAATAAACGAATGATGTAACAATCCCTTGGGTCTAAAACTATGAGACTCAAAATCATGAGACATGGGAAACCAAACAACAATGTTAATGCATGTAGCAATGTCTTGCCACCTCTCGTAGATGCAGTAGGGCCAGTATGGCTTCCAGGCTGGCTAGCTCCACTTGGCACTGCTGAGCATCTCTGTGGCTCTGGGCCACCCTCTGCTCCTGGCTCTGGCTCAGACCCCGCAGGTTTTCCAGCTCCCTGCGCAGAGAGGCCAGCTCCCTGCACTCCGCTCCCCGCTCCACAAGCTGCCCTTCCAGATGCAGTGCCCGTCCTTCAGCCTCCTCCAGCTGAGCCTGGAGGTCTGAGCGCTGAGTAATCAAACACTTGGCCTGCCTCACCTCCTCCCTCAGCTGGCTACAAGGCAGACAGGGAGAAAGATCAGGGATTACACATGTTAACCAGCAAAAATGTACTTTCCTTTGGATAATTTAACAAATAATGATAATTTAGACATCCTCAAATGTACTTCTGTTTCTACATGCTGGACTGAACAACTACAGACCTGTCGCCCTGACATCTGTAGTTATGAAGTGCTTTGAAAGACTGGTGTCGGCCCACCTCAAGGACATAGATGACCCCCTGCTGGACCCCCTGCAATTTGCCTACCGGGCAAACAGGTCAATGACGAAGCAGTGAACATGGCACTGCATTACATCCTGCAACACCTCGACTCCCCAGGGACGTATGCACGGGCCCTCTTTGTGGACTTCAGCTTGGCGTTCAACACCATCATCCCAGACATCCTCCACTCCAAACTGACCCAGCTCACTGTGCCTGCCCCCACCTGTCAGTGGATTACTAGCTTTCTGACAGACAGGGAGCAGCAGGTGAGGCTGGGGAAAACCACATCCAGCACCCGGACAATAAGCACAGGCGCCCCCCCCAGGGATGTGTGCTCTCCCCTCTGCTGTTTTCACTCTACGCCAACACCTGCATCTCAAAGGACCCCTCTGTCAAGCTCCTAAAGTTTGCAGATGATACAATGGTCATTGGTCTCATCCAAGATGGCGACGAGTCAGGCTACAGACAGGAGGTTGAGCAGCTGGTCCTGTGGTGTAGCCGCAACAACCTGGAGCTGAACACGCTCCAAACAGTGGAGATGACAGTGGACTTCATGAAGAGCCCCCCATCTCACCCCCCTTACCATACTTGACAGCACTGTATCAGCAGCAGAGCCCTACAGCACCTCCATCACTGTCTGGTTTGGCTCAGCAACCAAACAGGACAAGTACAGACTTCAGTGGACAGTGAGGACTGCAGAAAAGATCACTGGTGTGAGCCTGCCCTCCATGGAGGACCTGAACACCTCACAGGTCAAAAGGAGGGCAGAGAGGATCACTGCAGACCCCTCACACCCTGGACAGAATCTGTTTGAACTCCTCCCCTCTGGATGGCGTTACAGGTCACTGTGCACCAAGACAACCAGGGACAGGGACAGTTTCTTCCCCCAGGCTGTCACCCTGATGAACACTTAACCCACGACAGTATGATTAGACAATAACCCTCAGTGCAATACCTGTAAATATACATTTTACAGATTATACAGACTCGTGCAGGTCTGTAGTTCTTAAGTACTCTGTTTTATTCCTATTTATCTCATTTCAATGAATATTCCTTTGTTGTCTGCATTGTTTACCATCTGTTTATACTGTTTATTCTGCATTGTTTGCACTGTTTGTTGCCGTCAGTGTTACTGTTAATACTGCTTATTTTGTTATATTACACAGCCTTATGCTGGTTTACTGTTTGCACATTGAGAGCCGATGTACCAGAGTCAAATTCCTTGTGTGTCCGTCACACCTGGCCAATAAAGCTGATTCTGATTCTGATTCATAGAAATACTGAGAACGCTATGGAGAGAAAGATGAACTGAGATAATCCACCTCACACATGTACCTTATTGTCTGGCTCTGTTCTGCCTTCTCTCTGTTCAACACAGTGCACTTCATCTCCAGCTCTTCTTTTTCTCTGTCACACTCAATAAGACTGTCTTTTAGTTTGCTCTCACTCTCCAGCACCTTAAAAATACAAACAAAAACACATTTTTGGCATCAACAAGCAACTAAAATGAGTTAAATAAAATTAAACATCATATCATAATTAAATATTTTAATTATTAAATCATTAATTAAATTCACCCTTTGAAGCTTAATGGAAATTGTGGCCTTGTAATCTTTGAAAGCTTCTTTGAGTTGCTCAGCATTTTGAAGCGCTTGGTTCCTTTGTTGCTCAGCCCTGTAAGGGATGAGGTGGAACATACAGTAAGTACTAAACAATAACTCCATCAGGTAAATCAGACACAAAACACCTGCTTACAATCCAGGAGGCCCAGTCATTGTCACAAATCAGCTTCATATCCTTTTTAAGCTAGTACCCTTGGTAGAAAAACTGCAATGAACTATAAACTGTCAAGCTCAGAATAATTCTTTACCGTTTCCCTAGTGCTGTCTTGTTGTCCAGCTCCTCTCTGAGAGCAACCAGCTCTTCAGTCAGATTGGCCACTACTATGTCACTGTGGGCTGCTGCTTCCCGGCTACACTCAGCCCTCAGCTCCACTGCCCTGGAAACAACAGACAAGGACAATAATACTAGGTTCAACTAGAGGTTAGTGCAACAGTTTTAATAATTAAAAAAATGTAAAGGTAAATTATCCATCCATTGTCTATACCACTTATTCCTGAATAGGGTAAGATCAATTAATCAAAGTCAATATTAAGCCTTCATTAGTACTATAGGCACTGACAACAGGAGTGGCACCAAAACTCTACAGAGAATTCTAGTATTATAAGGAGCTGACTGCGCGCTGTGATGCATTACATAATCTTAACACCAATTCAGTATCCAGTGTACATAAAGAGACATGCAATTTCCACATTACAATGACATCTGCAGAAGTTGAGGTCATGGAGTTACATACTTTAGTTCTATGGCTTGAGTCTCCAGTTCTGCTTCAAGTTCACAAATTCGTTCACTCATTATAGCCACATTGCTTTTAACCCCAAACCTGGGGCCTCTGAGGTGGACCTGAAAAAGAAAACACACAAAGTTTAGAGTCCAGACCATACGTATTTGTACAGGTACACATTTTTTATTCTTCAGGCTCTGTGCCTCAGCATATTCAGTTTGAAATAAAATAAGTACTTCATTAAGATACTGTAACAATCCACACCCAGGGGTCATCACAATACTGTAACAAGTCTCAGGTTTATATCAATGTAGAAAAACCTGTGTGGGAAATATAGTGCGTATAGCAACACGATACCCAGAGGCCAGGCCAGAAGTATCAAGGCAAGATGCCACATGACCATCAGAAATAAAGCTTTATTATGTCACACTCATATCAAAGAGTTATGCTAGATGTGCTCCTCATTCTGCCATTTTACTTAAAAACAGAGTTTTAGTCTGTTTAAACGTAATCTGTTCTCATAATGCAAGCAGTATTAAACAAAATAATAGCAAAAGCATAAAGACCGCTTGCATCCTGACTCTACCTTTTGTTACGGTCTCATCATCCATACAAATATAATTACATGAACTTGGCCAGCAGAGGTCACCATTTTTTTTGGCTGTAAAATGCTCTGACCCAGTGAACTATTTTTAACACAACTGCTGTATTTTGTTCATTGCTTCAGAAAGCTCAGTTTCTCCATCACTACCAAATACATATGGCCTGGACTGTATGTATCCAATATAATATGCACTTATATCACAAATTTTTAATATTTATTATTGTTATTTCATTGCTGTGGCATTCAAGTGAAGAAGCAACAGACTAGAACATTCTCTTTTGCCAACGTCTCAACAAAACAATTAAATTTGCAGCACACAAAGATGATACACAAAATACAGTGTGAAATTACTCAAATGAACAATCTGTGTAAGGATGATTGTAATACCCGAGTCTTGGAAGTAGCCAGTTCATACTGAACAGCATCCAGGCCATCGTTTAGTTGCTCATCCTGCATGGTGAGACAGGCGTTCTCCTGACGCACACAGCCCACCTTCTTCCTTGAGGAAACAGGCTCCATCTCTACTGACCTGGCTTTGACTGAAGCAGACTTAAAGGAACAATATCACAGATGTGGTTTTTTTTTTTCTAAATTTACATTTTAGTTGTGACATTACACTGGCCCTGATTACTACCCAGTATCTCTGCATAAAGGTAATTTGTTTTACATTTACATCTTACTGTAAAATGATGGTGGAAACATTAAATCTGATTTCCCTTTCCCATACAAAGACTTCTGAACAGATCACATTTATATCCTTTAAAGCTGACTGTGATAAGATCATCTCATGTGTTGTTACTGATGAAAAAATGTATGCAAATACATTCTGTAATTTGAATGACAAAGATGGTCCATTTATATTTTTTGGGAAATGGTGCAAGTAGCCTGTACAGTGTGTCTCTCTTCTCTCTCACCCTAGAGCTGGAGGAAGAGGAGCTGAGATTGCCAGCGACAGGACGTCTCTCAGCCATCCCACTGAGAGGCCCTTCCTGGCAGATGCAACCTCGCTGGGACAGAGGAACATCAGGAAACTGCAGGTGTTGCAAGGTCAGGTGATCAGGATTGTTCTGCACACATCCATCACCATGACCCTCTGGCTGACTGTACAAAGGGCTGTGGGGGAGAAAATCAAGAGAGGATGACAGAAAGGACAGATACAGCATTTTACTAACTCACTAACTCGTTAAGTCCTCAGCTGGTGGCTGCAGGTGTACTCTGTGAACGTAGTGTTGACAGTCGTGTTCATGTGCTCACCTCAGTTTCTGTCCCTCAGTTCAGACTCTCGAAATAGATTCCTCAAACTCGCCACATCTCGTTAATCTCCCTTCGTTCTCAAATATTAACGTTAGAATAATGATGAATGCATGTTGGACTCCAGCTTTTAGTTGTTCCAACTTAAGTGAACAGTCAGAAAGGTACATAAGACAACTCATTCATCAAGATACCGTTACGTTTTAGGCGGTGACTAACGCAAATAAAGGTAAACTAACTTAAATAACTACGTTCGCTAAATGTAAACAAAGATGCTCGCTTTATCAACAGGTGACTAGCCAGTTAATGTTATCGTTATTTTTAAGAGTACAAGCTACCAAACGACCGGTCAGGCGACGTTTGTTTTGAGTGAAGTATTAACACTGTTGTACTGTCGGTATGAAAGCATACAAACATGTCACTTCTAGCTGAATACTAGATACTCCAAGGATAGTGACAAGTAGAACGAACAATTTGTAATTTGTCTCCGGCCACATTCTAACAACGTGCTTTGTGATTGGACAAGATGAAGCAGTGTGTGAAATGATTGGTAGATACTGGTGTCAATGACAGTGGCCGCGAACAGCGGCGCGTTCACGGACACTGCTAACATTAATGGCGTGTGGGGCGTTGAAACATTATTTACAGCTAACAGTTCACCATCTAGAGCGCGACACGACCGTTCAAAACAACTGCTTTTATTTGCATTTTTTTAACAAAACAGATTCTGAAGTAACACGTCAACCTATATAAAAGGTGTGTAAAAATGTAATTAAGAAGAATCCCAAAAGACAAATCAGACGTTACATGTTATTCTTTGGCTGCAGAAGCCAGTGGTAGCAACAGGTAGGCTCAGACACTGACTGAACAGAGAGAAGTTTCAAAATGCACTCACCACATCCATACAATGAAGAGGTATCAGTGTCCAGAAGGTCTGTCCACTTTAACAAAAACATCTCAAAAAAAGAGACAGCAATATACTAACTGAATATTTACCACTTGCAATGACATTCAGCATATTAGTTTTCCAGTGACTGTTTTGACTCAGTTTAAACAAAGAGTAGCAGTAAAAGTGGACTTTTTCTTCTCAAAAAAAATAAAATAAAAATACACACATGACCCAATGGCCCAAAGTGATGTGAGAAATGAAGGACCTGATAGAAATATTGACCAAAACAAATAACTTACAAGAAAACCTCCTGTCAAGATGCAAATGCTGGCCTATGCAATACAGTGAAGGTTTGGGGCATATCCTGAGTGTGTAGGCTACAAAGGTGAACCTGACTATAAAAGCAAAATCCAAGTGCATTTTTAAAGTAGATATTTTGGTACACCTGTCGCATGAAAAATTGAATGCCTGAGTCAAAAATCCATGATAATGCTGATGTTCCTGCTTGTCATGCCATATGGTTCAACTGTGTGACCGAAGAATACATTTATCAAAACTAACTTGCATAGGCAGCACAAAAAAGCAAAACAATTCAGAACACTGGATATGGGAACTGGTTATACAATATTCACCTTGTAAAGCACTTTATTCTGTCAATAACCACCAGACAAAACTAAATAGACTAAAAGATTTCAGTCATTTTTATCAATTTCAAATTAAAATGTTTTAAAGGATGTGTTCAATGGGTTCATTATTTATATGCTGAAGTTCATTTTGGGATGTTATTTTTATGAATCTCATGCTCAAATCTAATCCACTGGGAGTGATGACCTAAATGATAAATGCTGTCTTAAGAGGGGCTGAGATAGCTCAATGCATCTGCTTAAAATGAGATGTTGGATATCATTTAAACTATGCAATACATAATAAAAAAAAAGAAGACAATCAGACCCCTACCTTGTTGGAAGAGAAAAGGCGTACATGAAAGTACAAGTATAAAATGTATTAATAAATGTAGTATAATTACGTATAAAACAATCAACATTTGCAGCAGCACAGCAGCCCTTTGTTCCGAGTTCCACTTGAACTGCTCACAAATGAGTCCACTTTCCAAACAGAACTGAAGGATATGTCTGCCAAAGGCAACAAGACTTACTCACAGCTGAGACTACAGAAGGAGGGGACATTGATGTAAAGAGACATGTTGTTATTTATCAAATTTGGTAAGAAAATAAATGCTAACCAAACACATGTAACTCCTTGCTGCTTGAATAAACTCTTGTCTCTGATCCTCCAGCTTTCACCATTTAAATGCCCGATCAACTAAATTCTTTCAAATAACGTACAGGTTCATACTTAGTTGGTCTGGAAATAAAAAGCTTATAACTTGTTTTAAAAACAAAAAAAATCTATCAAGCACAATACCAGTTCACTGAAAGCATACAGGTGCAGTGCACTTGCCCCTGAATTAACGGGGTTCTCTGTAAACATTCAAAGCAGATAACAAAAGTTAAAAGCAGAATAACACAAGTGTGGCGTAGTATAACAACATTACCTCGTCTTTATAATATTTAAATGAGGAAAATAACATGTTTAATTGTGCTATAATCACCTTGGACTGCACAGAACCAGCAGGCTTTACAGGAAGCTTAATAGGAAAAACGTGTTCCTGTCTAAACTAAACAAAGGCATATATCAATTAATGCTTTGAAAAGCAGTTCACTTATAGCTGCTGATTAGAAGTTAGAAGTGATGACGGTGAGAGTGACAAGCCTAGGAGGCAGTGACTCCCTCCCACTCCACCAGGTACTGCACCTTGCCATCGAGGGTGACCCGTCGGGCCAGGACTTTGTATTTTTCTCCACAAGCCAGGCGCCCTGCTGCTCCGAAATAGCTGCTGATGGAGCTCTTGAGGTGGGAGAGCTGGCTGTTGGGGTCCATGCCATGAAGTATGTCTGCTGAGTGAAGCCCTGGGAGGGCGTTCAGCATCTCTGTAGCTGAGGGGTTTGGGTCTGTGTGGCTGGGAGGGGGGATCTCCGGGTTGGGGGACTGCAGGGCCCGTCGTGGCCGCCCGCGTTTCCTTTTTAAGGGTGGAGAGGAAACAGGCATGTTGCAGGCTGCTGTGCGTGTCTTGCTGGAGCTACAGAGGCTAGAGGATGTTTGATAGGAAAAAAGGAAGTCAAAAAACAGATTTTAATTTTGAGAGACGTACACAGGGGAATTACAAAAAAACTAGACTACATGCTATAAGCTCTGAGACTGCACTTAGGCACAGTGGCAAATCATCAGCATGCAGATGTCAAGCTCATATGTATTACCATTTTCAAAAATAACTTTGATGTTCCTCTCATCCTGTGTGAACAAGCATTTCTGTACCAAATCTTATATCTATCCAATAGTTTTGAAATGTGACTCAAAACCACAAATGTCAACCTCAAGGTGGCACTAGAGGAACAGTCAGGCAATCCTTAGAGTCATTAGGGTTCATCTTCTGAGGACCACAACTGTCTGAACAAAATCTTATGGCAACCCCTTCATAGCTGTTAGATATCTGAATCAGAATCACAGTGACAGACCAACCAACAGACAAACAGTATGACAGTCTCTACAGCCACGGATGTCAAAGAAAGAAAAGGGTAAATTTGCAGTTGCAGAGCAAGCTTACCTGGACTGTCTTGAAATGCTAGTTGAGGTAGTTTCTGAGGTGCTCAGGCCTCCTATGGATTCCAGGTCTGAGGTAAGCGAGGACAGCAGAGTCCTGTCATTCCTGGTGTTGGAGGGATGGGAAAATGAAACAGGATAATAGAAGTTACTAAGCACTGAGAAAGAAACCACAGAGACATCCAGTCACTGCACACACTGCTGAAACCACTGAACAGAAAATTAAGTTTTCGAGTAATCAAACTGACAGTAGAAATGATAGAAATCCCTAACTGTACAGCAGCTTCGCCACTACAAAATGGAATGGTCCGGACCGCTTAGGATTACATTTTGCACCACAAATGCTCACTTACTTGATAGAGGTTAAGTGATCCAATGTATGGGGGTCTAATGGTAGAGGCTTTCTTATTTGCTGTTAAAAAACAAACATGAACACCGTTAGCACTTCTTAGCGGGTTTCCTTGTCAGAGTTTCTTAACATCTCCAGTAGATATTACAATTTTCTCACAAGAATGGCTGTGAGAGCTAAGACCTGTACAGTATAATGCAACAATACCCTCCCCTCTCAACAGTTATGTACACACCTAGTTCACACCCACTGAGACATACATACAAATGCGTGCACACACTCGCACACCTGGGACAAGAGTTCATTGGAGCGTTGTGGTTTAGCCAGAGTCTCCAGAGAACGAGCTCCTTGCTTCCTCTTTCTCTTCTTCTTCTCTGAGCCATTGGTTAAAGTACTACAAGTTCTAGAGCAACAATAACAACAGTTTCATAAACAATAAAACCGTTGAGCAGTCAGGCATTATGAAACAATTTACAAGGTGCAGGACAATATTAAAACTGCTTGTTGCAGGTTCTATCACTTTATGTCATCGGCTCAACACAAGTGGTTTGCAAAATCTGGAGCTTACATTGACGAATGTTGAGTATCAGAGCCAAATCGATTCCCAAAGTATTGAGTCCTAAAACCCAGAACTGAGTTAGCATTTTTGAATTTTTGGTTCACTCACTCTGTGGCACTGTATTAGCCAACATGCTATTCATAACTAAAATCTTTTTTTCTGGGTGATGACCCACCCAGACATTTCAAGACATTTGACTTCAAACCTTCAAATATAAATTTCACATCCTACCCTGTGCCAAACAGGGCTTTGGTGGACTTGCAGCCTTTGATGGTGATTTCATGTGAAGCCCTCTCCATCACTCTGCTAGTTGGCTCATCAGAGTTGGGCGGAGAAGGAGGGAAGCGGATCCTCAGGCCAAACAAGTGCTTCTTTTTCTTGACTTCCTTACCTGACATAAACCTGGCAGAGACATGGGGGTAAAAACACAAGGAGTCAGTTGAACACTCTAAGGCTAACATTAATATCATAAACAATTAAATGGTAAAAAAAAATAGCTCACAAGCTCCTGTTGTTGTTTAATGCCTCCAGAATATGTTCATACCGCTCTGATCTGGGAGTGTTGGCGAGCTGCAGACAGGGCGAGGGGAGGTTACCAAAGTCAGGATGCAACGGGGAAAAAAGTAAATGTTCAAGAAAATCAACACCATATGGTTTCAAAACCCACTTTGACAATTTGCATTAGAAATAATTAACCATCTAGTAGTTGTGGTTCTCTGGCCTCCATTCAACTTTGGATGTATTGATGGACTTAGCTGGTGCATACCGCAGAAACAGGTGATGCGTTACAGTTTAATTCCTTACACTATGTGCCAAATGAAAGACAGGCCTTCTTTGATTTAAAATAAGCATTAAGCTGCACAAAGAAATGAGTATGACTTTGCAGAATACACAAGTGTGTGTTCACAACTGGCCATCAGCAAATACAAATCAAAGTTGCCAACTTGTCCTCTTACCTCTCCGAGCTGCAGCAGCTCCCAGTTGTTGTTGATATAAGCCATCAAGGCCATCTCTGAGTCAAAGTACTTCTTCTTGTGGATCACACTCAAGTTGTACAGGCTCAAGTGTGCAACATCCTCCCTGAAACATGTTAGTAAAAGCAGTTTTCTTTTTTTTGTACTGGTTCATAAAAAAAAAGAAAATAATAGAACTGCAAATGCAGGACTGATGGCTGGCTGATGTGGATAAAATTTTAATATCCACAAGCACAAGCTTGTATACTTAACCAATATGCCGCTTTAAAGAAAGTCTTTATCTGTGTCAAAGTTGAACATACATCTTGCAATTCACTCACCATCTGAGAGGCAATCGGCTGATGTACTCAGGTCCACCATTGCAAACGGAGCATACAAACAGATAAAACCTGAAAGTGAAAAAAACACGTTATCTTATCAGCGGGCCTTATTTCTCTTCAAAGTGATTTGAGACCAAAGGGTAACTTTTGGTGCAGTGTTTCATGGTTTCAGAGAAGACATACAGTCATTCAGTTCTTTGGTATTCTCGTGTTTACTTCTGGAACAACACAAAAAAGCAGAGGAAAAGAAAAAAAAAATCTAATACATGCCACACAGAACTCCAAAAATGGACTGGGCAGAATTATTGACACCCTCAGCTTAATATTTGTTTGCACACACTTTGGACAAAATAACTGAAATCAATGGCTTTCTGCAACTATCATTGAGTCTCTTACACCTCTTTACTGGAATTTAGGCCGATCTTTTTATTGCCAACTGTCTCAGATTTGAAGGGCTGTTTTGAAATCTCTCCACAGGTAAATATGCCCATGACTATATGACGCTAGGGGTTCCCCCTAATAGTCGAGTTATTAGTCAAGAGACCTGTCATTTGACTCAACTCTTCTAGTCAAACTTTTGTTTTTATTTTATTATATTTTGTTGTTTGTCAGCCAATGTGCATTACAATAAGGTTGGATCTAATTAGCGAATTGCAGAACGAGGAGAAAAGGACAACAAAACCTAATAGGAAAAGCCACATAAAAGGTGAGATTTGTAATTCATTTGAATTTTTTTTTTTCAACCATTGTGGTCTAGATTTACAAGAGAAAATACTTTAATGGTCACAAAGATGTGGCTGGTTTTACATAGCCTAATGTTATGCAAGTCCAGTTTGTTTATTCATTTCCGTTAAAGTGCAATGCACAGCCGTTTACCGACTGTTTCCCCGACATGCATCCATCTGAATGGGACTAGGAAGCTAACAAAAATGCGCAGGGAAACCATTTCAATGAGGAATTATAAATAAGAGAAATCATTCACAGTGCAAGCTGACACACATCTAATGCTCTGTAACAACATGTGTTGTGGTTAACTGACAGAAAAAGTGTAAACATGTTGGTAAACTAGGCTATAACCACGTCTCAGAAGAAAAACTAGCCTATAAGAGCACTGTTTCAGCAGAAATACAAATGTGCTGCCTGTCGTGTTATTCCGACAAATCCATATAGCAGCCCGACATTATACATCGTCAATTTAAATAGGTCACAATTTAACTGTTGCATCATCGACAGATTTTTAAATGCTTGGGAATATGTTCCTGTCACTATTTTTCCTTTCAAAACTGATGTAACGTGGTCAAAATCATCACTGAAATTCACGCCAGTCGATTTTCTGACAGTTGAACAAATAGTCGAATAGTTGCACTGAAGAGTCGACTGACAAAATCCTTAGTCGGGTACAGCCCTACATTACACAAGCAATTATTCAAGATAATGTGTCCTCATACATGCACCCAATTGTCAAAGCCATCACTCATTTTTTAAAAGTTGTTTTCAGTCATTTTAATTTCTGGTCATTTTTGGTTGGTTTCCCTGGTAAGAATTCATTTGTAATGCAACATAAAGCTCATGTACTGTTGTACTTCATGTACCACTTTAAAAAGATGGTTAAACTATGGTTTAACCAGCCAATCAGAAGCCTTCTCAACAACCATGATATAAACACTCCAAACTGTGGAACATATAGTTTTGAATAGTGGTATTAGCACCTATCTCCATAAAGCATGGGCATCTGCAAGCAATGGAGGCAGGCCTCATGGAACCACTGCTGACACCTGTTACACTGCAGCATCTTTAGGTACCAACTAGAGGGTCAAACACAGAGAGTAGTTAACAGTACGGTCATATTAAGGTTCTTAAACTCATATGCAAGCAGAAAATTGTGAATTCTTATTGTTACTTTAAAGTGTATAACATGATACTCACTCTCCTGGTCCCCCACAATAACAGTAACACTGCTGAATATTAGTCTTGTGGCCCGGGTCCCACACCAGTTTGTCCAGGGCATAGGGGAAGGACAGGTGCAACTCCATGTGCTGCTGCAGAAAGCCTTTAGCAGATGTCCCTCTCCTGTGTGCACCTCCCATCTGAAAACCAGACTGATAAAACATGTTTACCCCAACACAAAACCAGACACATATATTATCTTGTAAGTTTCTTTTCTCTATTTTACTTTACAGCTAAAGCAGAGCAAATACATTGGATATCTGTCAGGTAAAAACACACTCATCTAGTCAAATAACCTTTGCATTCAACTAAGGATCTTATGTACTTATACACAAAGCAAAAGCTGTACCTTAGGCATAGAAGAAAGCTCACACTCTGAGCAGAGCCACTTGTCATCTGAGTCAATGACAGAGGCATCTATGACGGGGGAGTGACACAGCTGATGGTATCCTACAATACAACAAGAACATGCAGTTGCCATCTACTGGATTGTTTTCTTAAAAAATACATATATCCTACTAACAAGAGAAGTGTCCAAGGGGTAGATGCATAAAGAATGAACAAGTATGGCTGTTTACATAAAAGTAATGTATAAGACAAGCTGTTTTGGTCAATGTTAGGTGTGTGCATGTATGTACACACACACATACATATACACATATATATATACACACACATACATATACACATATATACACACACACATATACACATATATACACACACACACACATATACACACACACACATACATATACACATATATACACACACACACATACATATACACATATATACACACACACACATACATATACACATATATACACACACACACACATATACACACACACACATACATATACACATATATACACACACACACACACACATACACATACACACACACACATACACATACATATACACACACACACACACACACACACACACACACACACACACATATACATACA